GGGGGGGAGAGGAGAGAAAGAGAGGCAGACAGAGACACAGAGAGAGACAGAAAGTAATTCATATGGAAGGAAGAAGTATGTCCTGTGTCCATTTACAAGCCTTACTGATGCAAAGAGCATAAGTCAACATGATTCCAGGTCACACCAACAATATAAGGACAAAAAAAAAATCAGGAAATACTGACGGACTCTTGTCTTTCTACCAACCCAGGGATGACAATATGAAAGGGACAATTTCTGAACACAGACAACAACACACGCACCTGTTTGGCCAGCCACACTCGCAGCACGGGCATGCCAGCGATGATGGAGTTGGGGTCCTCCTCAGCGGCCGAGTTGACCGTGTCGTTGGCGCCGATGATGAGGGCCAGGTCCGTGTCGGGGAAGTCGTCGTTGAGCTCGTCCATCTCCAGCACGATGTCGTACGGCACGCCGGCCTCGGCCAGGAGCACGTTCAACTGGCCGGGCATACGTCCTGTATACGCGCACACGCACAGAGAGAGAGGACAGGGGTGTCACGCGGTAACAAACAGATTTTAGTAGAGGTTTTACGGTGCTCGCAACTGCATAAGGTTAAATGAGCGCCAGAAGATTAGAGGTGTTACAAGAGAGTAGCAAACATAAAAAAGAAGAAGGGGAGATAAGGACGATAGATGTTTGATAGGAAACAAGAAGCAAACCACACCAGAGCACCCGCCAACAACCCACGGGCAACAAACAAAAAAAATTGTGAAACGGTATAGGTCTAACTAACACCGTTATCAACACTATTAGGTTATTTAAATCAGGGAAGCCAAAGGATTCTTGAAAAAGAACCTGAAAATGATCGGAGCGTCACATCTCACCTAAAATGAACCTTGTAAAATCTTTCAATGAGCAAACAAAAACATTTCTCTTACCATTCCCCTTTCCTTTGCAAGTGTAAGAAAAAACCCCCCCGGAAAAAGCCCAAAAAAACCGGAGATTTGGCATCCCTGTTTAAATACTTCCAAGAAAATTTCCCCCACATACGGCAGACAAATTATGGAGGACAGAGATAGATGTCTACTGACTAGGGAAAAAAATTTAGGAACTTTTCCGACCCTGTTAAAATGTGCACATGGGGACTTTACAGGTCATACTGTATAATAGGCCTACATATGTGTACTAAAAAGCCTTTTAAAAAAAATAAAAAATTAATAAAGTGCAATATGACATGATGCACATAGAGATTAAAAGCAAAAGCAGGAATAATTATAAAGCAGATCAGTTCATAAATCTGGATTTCAGAACTCACTTGGAAAATTGGTACCTCAGTAGTAATTTTTATTTTACAGTGAAAAAAACATACACAGACAATTTTTTTTTTAAACATGAAAATTAGCAGCTCTGTAAGTTACACACAAACAAAAGTAGTACAAAAACATCCACCGACAAAAAAAAAAACCACACAAAAAAACCAACTTGTGATAAAGGGAAAAGAAATGTCTTCACCTGCCACGGGGTGGATGCCGAAGCGAACGTTCTTTCCTTGCTTGGTCAGGATGTCCACCATTTCAGCGATGGGGTACTGGGCCTTGGCAACGCACAGACCGTAGCCTGGAGGGGAGGGGGAGCATACCACAAAACAAGGTCAAAACTCAACGTGGTTTTTTAAAAAAGTTTAGAAGAGTTTATACGGCGCTCGCAACTGCATAAGGTTACATGAGCACAAAGAAACATGGTTTGAGTAAAGAAAAGCTGTCTTATGTTTTAGTAAAAGTTTGCAACACAATAAGCTTATATAAGTGCCGAAGACTAGAGGTGTTACAAGAGAGTAACGTACATAATAAAGGAGGGGAGCAGAAAAAGACGATAGATGTTTGATAGAAAAGGAGGAGTAAATCACACCAGAGCACCCACCAACCACTCCCGTATGTTTTAGTGAGGGCTTTATGGCTCTTACAACACAAAAAGGTCATATAAGTGTCGAAGAATATATGTCTAACTAGAGAGTAACATACATTTTTAAAAAAGGAGGAGGGGAGCAGATGAGGATGACAGGTGTTTGAATAGGAAAGAAGGAGCAAACCGCACCAGAGCACCCGCCAATCACCCACAAAACAAGGTCAAAACTAAACGTGAGCCTCCAATTTATGCCTCTGTTTAGTGTATGCATGTGACATGTGCAGTGTGTGTATGTGATAGGTGAGTGTGTGTGTGTGTGTGTGCGCGTGTGCTAACCTCATATACGCACAACACACATAAACACGACAACACACACAAACACACCCTCACTCACCAGGTACGATGATGATGTTTTTGGCGTCGTCGATGAGGTCAATGGTTCCCTCCCACCACACATACACACAAACAACAACACACACATACACACACAACCACTCACCGGGTACAATGATGATGTTCTTGGCATCCTCGATGAGGTCAATGGTTCCCTCCACGTTGATCTCCGTGTGGGTGCCGGTGATCTCCATGGGCTTGCCTGTGCCGGTGGAACTGGTGCCGTAGCCGCCCAGGATCACGTTGGGCAGGGATCGGTTCATGGCCTGGAAAACATACACGTACACATACATATATAGTACAGTTTCATTATGATCCGGTGATCGCCTGGCATACATACAAGTACACAAACGGTACAGTTTTATTTGTTTTGATCGGTTCATCCCCTCGGAAACATACACGTACACATATATATATATAGTACAGGTTCATTATGATCCGGTGATCGCCTGGCATACATACAAGTACACAAACGGTACAGTTTTATTTGTTTTGATCGGTTCATCCCCTCGGAAACATACACGTACACATATATGTATATAGTACAGGTTCATTATGATCGGGTCATCGCCTGGCATACATACAAGTACACAAACGGTACAGTTTTATTTGTTTTGATCGGTTCATCCCCTCGGAAACATACACGTACACATATATATATATAGTACAGGTTCATTATGATCTGGTCATCGCCTGGCATACATACACGTACACAATTGATGGCTTCATTTGTTTTTAGTTTTTAATAAGAATTTTATGGCACTTGCAACACAGTAAAGTCATATAAGTGCCGAAGATTAGAGGTGTTACAAGAGAGTAACATACACAAAAAAAGAAGGAGGAGAGATCAGGACAATAGATGTGTTTGATAGGAAAGAAGCAGCAAACCACACCAGAGCACCCCCCAATCACCAACAAAACACCGGTGAAATAACGATAGATAGACAGATACAACACGCACAACTGGCGCGGATGACATCGGTGGTCTCACCTTGCACATGATGTAGGAGAGGATGGCTCCGGACGAGCCAATCAGAGAGCCCACGATGGTCATCAGGTTGTTGTCCAACATGAAGCCCTCGGCACACAGAGCCCAGCCAGAGTACGAGTTGAGCACGGTGATCACAACCGGCATGTCAGCGCCTAGAAGCAATGACGATAATGACAACAATAATGACGACAACGACAATATTTAGTCATTTCTCTCTCTTTGTCTCTCCTTTTTGTTTTACTAAGTGTTTTACGGCGGTTGTAACACAATTATGACAAAGCTTATTCATCTTTTTTGGATTGTTTTAATAAGTGTTTTACGCCACTTGCAACACAATAACGACAAAGACAATATTCATTCACCTTTTTTTGTTTTGTTTTAGTGTTTTGTGGTACTTGCGACACAATATAACGTCATATGCCGGACGTGACGACAAAATGAGTTACTTCTCGAAATCAGGGAATTGAGGGGATATTGGCAAAAACCCACACATGCACGCACACACTCGCTCACTCGCCACCCCACACACACCTACACCCCCACACACAAACTGACCTCCAATAGCGGCGGTGAGGGTCACTCCCATGATACTAGACAGGGCGGTGGTGGTTCCCAGCATGCTAAGGCTCACACACAAACACCCATTAACCCCACTCACTCACACCCCCCTCCCTCACACTCACACCCACACAAACTGACCTCCAATAGCAGCGGTGAGGGTCACTCCCATGATACTAGACAGGGCGGTGGTGGTTCCCAGCATGCTGAGGCCCACGCTGGGGCTGCTGTCCATCATGTAGTAGCCCATGGCCGCCACGTTGGACGCCATCATGCCACCGTTCAGCAGGTTGCGGCCGGGGAGGAGAAGGGGGTCCGACTTGAGCAGTCCTGTACGCAGGGGGGGAGAGAGAGAGAGACGTGTGAAAGGGATGATGAAAGACAAGAAAGGGAGAAGGGATGATGAGAGGCGAGAGATGAGAAAGGAATGATGAGAGACAAGGAAGGAATGATGAGAGGCAAGAAAGGAATGATGAGAGGCAAAAAAAAAGGGTTGATGAAAGACAAAATGAGAGACTAGATGAAACACCAAAGACAAGATGAGAGACGAGATAGGGATAATGAGAGACAAGATGAGAGATGAGATAGGGATGATGAAAGACGAGAACAGAGACGAGATAGGGATGGTGAGGGATGAGAAAGGGATGATGAGAAACAACAGTCAACAAAGAGAGACAAGAAAGGGAACACCAGCAGAGCTATCAACAAACAGCACACACACCAAAAAAAAAATTTTAAAAAAAAAAGAAAAAAAAAAAAATTTAAAAAACCACAAAACTCTCCAACTAAGGCCACTGCCGCCACTATCGCCTCCTCCTCCTCCTTCTCACTCCTTACCCTGCAGCTTGCCGAAAGCAACGAGGGACCCCGTGAAGGTGACGCCCCCGATGAACGTGCCCAGGAAGAGGAAGGTCTTGATGACGTTGGCGGCCGGGTCGGTGGCGAAGTGCGGCTGCTCCAGCAGGTAGTTGGAGAAGCAGGTCAGCACGGCCGCCGCGCCCACCAGGCTGTGGAACAGAGCCACCATCTGGGGCAGGTCTGTCACCTCTATGCGCTTGGCCATCACTGAGCCGATCAGGCCACCTGTGTAAGGGAGGAGGAGAGAAATTGTTAATTGTTGTTGCCTGTCGTTAACTATTTATTTTCAGGGTGGGGGTGGGGGAAGAGAAATTGTAGCACGTCATTAACTCTTTGTCTCCGGGGAAGGGGAGAGAAATTGCCGAAAGTCATTAACCCTTCATCTCGGGGGGGGGGAGTTGTCACAGGTCAGTACTTCCTTATCTCAGGGGAAGGGGAGAGAAATTGTCGCGAGTCATTAACTCTTTATCCCTGAAGGGGGGAGAGGGCCTGTGCAGGGAGAAATTGTCACGTTTCAGTAACTCTTTATCTGCGGGGGAGGAGGAAGAAATTGTCATGTCATTAACTCTTTATCTCCGAAGGAAAGCAGGGGCGCCGCTGTGAGGGGAGAAATTGCCTGTGTCATTACTCAAATACCCAGTGCCCGTTTGATGTAGTCGAGGCCTGCTAGAGTTTTTCTTTCAGGGGTGTGTGTGTGTGTGTGTGTGTGTCTGTGTGTTTGTGTGTGCATGAGCCAGGAGAAACTACCTGTGTCATTACTTGAATACCCAGTGCCCCATTTGATTTTGTAGTAGAGGCCTGCCAGAGTTTTTCTTCATGGGGGGTGGGGTGGACAGCAAAAAGTTAAGTAATTTTGGTACAATTTTATCAAATCCTGCAAGCAACTGCAGGGTGAATTATATGGGGTGTGTGTGTGTGTGTGTTTGTGTGTGTGTGTGTGTGTGTGTGTGTGTATGTGTGGTGTGCGCATGTGTGTGCGTGCGTGGGAGAGATGAGAAGGCATACATACCCATGCCCATGCAGGCAGCCATCTGTGTGAAGGTCTCTGGCGTGGGCTTCAGGAGACCCAGGGTGGCAGCAACACCGCTGGTCACACCGATCATGCCCAGAGAATTACCTGAAATGTCGGGGGGGGGGGGGGGGAAGAGGAACAGATTTGTGAATTTTCTTTTCAATTATCAAAAGTATCCCCCAACAACATTTTGAGCTCGAGTGTTTCTATTTTCCAACTGCGTACTTTTCAACATGTGAACCATCAGAACTCACAACACTTGGGTACACAATGTCAGGGGACAAATATCCCTAATCATCAATTTAGATTGTAGGAGGGCATCTTAATGAAGCTACGTGAAATTCCGCAATTTTAAGCAATATTCCCATGTACGCAAACAATAAAACCCTAACCTGAACCCAGCCACAAGCAAGATTTTTTATTCAGCTTGAGCTACAATCTACGTTCTTATCAAATCAGAAAGACAAGAAAAAAATTGACATTCTTTTTCTGGTATCGCTGCCATGCTATTTCAGTTAAGCCAGCGCAAACTTCATTGACATAGAGACAAACCGTCACTCAAAACCAATAACACAAGTGGACACATGGTGAAATCATTAGACCAAAATGTTGAGTTAAGTTAAAAAAAAAAAAAAGTTTTACAGTGTTCTAAACTACATAGGGTCATATGAGCATGTGGGACTCGAGTTGACTGTTTTTAAGTTAGTTTACAGCATGGCTTGCTTTTACTTTATAAGTCAGAACAGTTGACATATCTCTCCCCCCCCCCCCCCATATACTTAGTAAAGATATAGTACAAAAGCAGCAACTTACAAGTTTAAAATAACACTATTTACATCTTACTGAAAAGTTTGATGGTACTTACAAAATTACGAATTCTGTTGGATCAACCGTGTAGAACAAATTCTTCAAATTAGAACATTAAAATATTTTGTTTCCCCTCGCACAAACGGGAGATAGACCAAAAAGTATGCAGCAAACAAATAAAAAACAACAGTGTTATATCCCCGTAATAAGCGAGGGGCGTGGCGATGTACAAAACACTAAAGTGCCGCGGACTGACCTAGCCGGCTGGTGGTCTGGGAGGAGAGGCCGGTGAGGGCGCCAACGCAGCACAGCGAGGCTGCCAGGTAGGCCATCTGGTGGATGTCTGGGTAGGTGCCGGCCGCAGCGCAGTAGCCGTAGCCGGCCAGGAAGCCCGCCGCGGGAATGCCGTACAGGTATGAGTACTCTGGGGGGTCGGCTGTGGGACACAGGAAAAACACATACGTTATTTGATTACAGTTCAAACCTGCACAAGAGATAGGAAGTGAAGGAAGTTTTCAAGTGAAAAGAGAAGAACATTGACAGAATAAAGATTTTTCAAATTCTTAGCAAATGGTTTTAATAAAGTTTTAGTAAGAGTTTTTCGGCACTTGCAACATAATAAGGTCATATAAGTGCCATAGATTTAGAAATGTACCAAAGGAGTAACAAACACAATAAAGAAGGAGGGGAGATAAGATAAAGAAGATAGATGTTCAATAGGAGAGAAGGTGCAAGCCACACCAGAGCACCCACCAACCACCCACACACACAGTTCAAACTGCCAAAGATTAGACGTGTTACTAGAGAGTAACTAATATGAAAAAAGAGGCGAGATAAGGACGATAGATGTTTGATGAAAAAAAAGGAGCAAACCACACCAGAGCACCCGCCAACCACCCACACAATTAGGTAAAATAAGAGCAGAAAATTTGTGGCAATACAAGACAGTATACCAAATACAAAGAAAAGGGAGGCAGAGGACAGATATAAGGGAGATAAATTTTTGACAGGAAAGAAGGAGCAAACCACACAAGATCCTTTGCCAACCCCCCACCAAGGCAGACAATACCAGAGCACCTTCCAACCACCCCCATTAGCGCTCCCACTTACTGGGACGTTTGAACATGTCCAACATTCTCTTGGTGACCACAAACCCTCCGCCGATGTTGATGGAAGAGATGAAGGCGGCCAGAGCAGCCAATGTCTGGAAAAGAAAAAGAAAGAAAAATTTCCACTCACATCAAAATCATCCTTGGGACGTCTGACAAATATTAGCTTTTTCAGTGTTAATAGTATGAGGTTTTACTCCAACCACACATCTACTAACAGACAAAGGAAAGAGAAATACTTTTTAAAAAATATTTTAAAATTTGAAAAAATCTTAGACGCGAAGATGGTGGTGACTCTACTGAATTTTTAAAAAACCCCAAACAACGAACCAATAAAAACAGAAAAAATCAACCCCCCCCCCCCCCCTAAAAAAAATAAAACCCCACAAAAAAAATAATAAAGTAAAATAAAAAAATAAATATGACAAAAAGATGCTGGTACCCCAACAGACTGCGCGCGTGGGGGTGGTGTAAGGGGTGTGTGTGTGTGTGTGTGTGTGTGTGTGTGCGCATGTGTGTGTGTGTACAAGGTGCCCACCTGTAAGGTGTTAGATGGGAAGTATCCTCCTCCCAAGAGGAGCAGACCTCCCACCGCGGTGTGTGTATATGTGTGTATATGTGTGTGTGCGTGTGTGTGTGTGTGTGTGTGTGTATGTGTGTGTGCGTGTGTATGTACACAGTACTCACCTGTAAGGTGTTAGACGGATAGTATCCTCCTCCCATGAGGAGCAGACCTCCCACAGCGGTGATCCCGGAGATGGCGTTGGTCACCGACATGAGGGGGGAGTGGAGGGCGGGGGTCACACCCCACACGGTGTGGTAGCCTGGAGGGAGAGGGAGGGAGGGAGGAGGGTAAGGGAGGGAAGAGGAACAGCCAGTCAGTTTTGACCTTTATTTCTCGGGTGCCTTAATGCCTAATGACCCAAGGAAAGTTTTTCACAGAGAAGGCATGTCTAATTAATGTAAGACATCAATAGGAAGTATCAATGGCTAGGTTTAAAATGCTCTAAGCTAAAAATAAAAAAAAAAGAAATAATTCTTTTAATGAAGTTTCTTCGTAAGTGATATTGATTGCATACACTCAAGAAATATTTTGTCTATATTCAAATTCCAAATGTTGAATAAAAACAACCCAACATGGCAAAATTTTGCTATATGGTCGTAGTACATTTCAACAGCTTGTTGACGATATTCAATAGCTGAGGAAAGGGCGACCAACCCCACCCAGCGGGGCCCCAGGAAAGAAAGGCCTCTCTCTAAAAACTGCTGCTAATATTCTGAACAAGCAGTCATGGATCAACTGGCAGTGGATCTATCATGACAGGGATGAGGGTGGCAGGTGGCGTTGCCAAACCTAAAAAGCTCCCTCATGCCTGATGATATGTTTGCATGGAGATAGGATGGGTAACAGTTCTAGTCAAGGGATTGAAACCCCGGTTAACATATCCCCTACCCCATAGGTCCTTGGACCGGGAGATAAGGTGCTGAAAACAGATACTAAGCCAACAGGCCAGCTCTAAAGAACCACAGCACTATGCAATAAAATCAATATGACTCAGATTCAACAGCTTGACGAGCTTACTCAGTCTGGGACAGGAATGTCATGCAAAAATTAAAACAAATGCGCGAGAAACAATAGCGCTGGCTATGTCATTATATTCAGTATTTGGAAACTAACTTCCAGCAAACACACACACACACACCATCCCAAATGTTTGGATGAGGCGGTGTCTTCCTGTCTTAGCGTTGCTAGTTACTCACCGACAATTCCAGCCAGACCAAACACGTTGACCATGGAGGTGAAGGCCGAGTTGGGGGACACAACACCGAGACCTGGCCAGGAGAAACAACACAATGTATCGGTCAAGTAACACATCAGTCTGTCGACACTACGCGATCCCAGTGCTTTCTTGTCGTATCTTCATTTTTAATAACAGTGAAAACAGTTCATAACAAAGAGTGAGCTTCAGACGATGCCACATTTTCACTGTTTAAAAAAAATTGAGATACAACAAGAAAGCACAGAGGTCGTGACTAGTTGAGCAAAAGATGATTACTACAAACAGCTAAGAAGGTAAAAAGTAGAGATTTTTTTCTCAGTAAGATTTTTATAGCACTTGCAACACCAAAAAGGGTCATATAAGTGCTGAAAATAAGAAGTGTTACAAGCAAGTAACCACCACAAAAAAGAAAGAGGAGCGATGTTTGATAGGAAAGAAGGAGCAAACCACACCAGAGCACCCGACAACCAACCACAACAGCTGAGATGAAGGTAAAAAGAAAGAAAAAAATATTTCTTAAATAGGCAACTAAATGATAACTTCATCAAAAGACAAAGAGCAAAAAAACACCAAACAAAACCATCAGCGAGACTGATTGACTGAGACTTTTGATGATACAACACAGTAACACGAAGCCCCCCTCCCCCCTTCATGAGATTAACTTCTTTTCATTTTATTCTCCAGACCTTTTTCCCTAAGAAAGTCGACGCCACAGGACATGTATGGGGGAAAAAATAACCGTCTTATTTCACTGGGAGGTTTTGATTTGTCAGAGTCTACTATCACCCCGGGTACAATTGTCTCAACACCAGAGAACAATTTTTACTTGAAGGGGCCTGCTGACTGCAAAAAATAAAAATTCTGAACTTTTCATACCCTGCGGAAAAGCTTGCACGAGGTCTCAAAATAAAAGCGACCATCTTACATCAAGACTGCTTTGCTTTATATGAAGAGCAAAAAACGACCTACAGAAAGAGATCACATTAATAAACAAACTTGTAGGCAGGCAGGCCTCAAATCAGGCAAAAATGCGAGACAATCAATTTAAGAAATCCGTTATTTCCTAATTCACCCAGAAAATCTGCACGCATCTGTATTCACTCACCGAGCACGGAGCCCAGCCCAGCTGTGTACATGAGGGAGTCCTTCATGGTGAGGGCGAAATAGTTGGGGGGAGGGGGCGGTTCCTTCGGGGCGGGGGCTGCAGCGGGGGCGGGGGCAGCAGCGGCCGGGTCCACCACGGGGGGAGGGGGAGGCCACAACAGCTTTCCCTGGGGAGCGGAGAGGGGGGAGGAGGGAGGAGAGGAGAGCTTGTGTTAGTGTACATGTGTGGCGGTTCTAGTCTACACTTGTCAGTCATTATCTACACAAAACAGCCCTCGTCTTCACGCACTCGTTCGAGTCAACACACACCAGTCCTTTCCACATTCCTGTTCAAGTAAACACGCACCAGTCCTAGACTACATGTATCCATCTTCGTCTACACACAAAAGCCCTTACTATAGATTGAAAAGCGCATAGAGCTTGCTGTTGAGCGGGAACTTGCACTGTAGAAATGCTACCTATTACTATTATAGGTACCAGAATGCAAGAACAAAAGTAAGTAATGTCCAGCAATGCTGGAGCTCTGGAGAATTCTAGATGGGTGACCACAACAGTTTGTACAAAGGGGAGGAGAGAGCTTGCGTTGATCAAAGCATCATCCTGAGTCAAGTTGTTAACATTCCCAGTATGGTTCTACAGAGAAAATTCGTTTCAAGAAAAGAAAGCCCCTTTAGTAACATTACATTGAGTCTTAGCCACAAGTGCATCAACGAGATCATTGTTTATTCAGCTGCCAGGGAGCTCATTCAGTCCTTAAGTTTAGCCTCACACAAATTCTTGTTTGTTTGTTTGTTTTGGTAAGTGTTTTAAGGCGTTTGCAACACACAAATTCTGCACCGGAACACAACAAAGTTTTCCCGTCACCTCTACCACTTACATCATGCAGGATGATCGATCCCCTGACAACCTCGTCCTCCAAGTTGACGTTGTAGTGGTCCTGCTCACCTGAGGGAATAAGATCAATCACAGCGGTCAATTCATCCCCCAAATATTTAAAAAAAATAAAACTAAAAATCAAATAGTCAAAAAAGATGGCTACCCATTGTCAAGCAGAAAAGTAGCTGTTTGGCACACTATCGTTATACAAGAACAAGCTTTGCCTTATGGTTTTTCTTTTTCCTTTTTAAAAATTCAACTCATAACGATAGTAAAAAGGATGATAGACGTTGGAACGGAAAGACTGAGGAACAAACAACACCAACCACCCACTTTCCCAAAAAGGGAAGAACCAAATAGCCTCACACCCTCCCATAGAAAAACCCCAAAACAAAATAGACAACCAT